AAGCCAGAACGCAAAAAACATAGAAAAAAACAATGAAAATCAACGATTTTGGCCTCTTGGGGCCCTCTTCGGAGGCCTCTTGGAAGGCCCTTGGGGCGTCTTGGAGGCCTCTTGGGCTGTCTTGGGGCCCTGTTGGGCGTCTTCGGGCGATCTTTGGCCGTCTCGGGGCCCTCTTGGACCGTCTTGGAGGCTTCTTGGGGACCTCTTGGCCCGTCCTGGGGCCCTGTAACAGAACTCCGGCATCTCTGGCCCGACCTTGCCGGGGACTTGCCGGGACCTTGCCGGGGTACTTTTCGTCTGGGGACCCCCAGGGGCCGCCCCGCGCGCGCGAACTAGAAATACTGTTAACCAGGTACCGGAGATCTTAGCACGCCCTGGCCCGTTGGGCCGGCGAATTCCAGGGGCGTCTTCAACCCAATCTACCTTACCCTCCTTCCTACTTCATGCTTTCACCTACTTCTCCCGAACGACGTGTACATTTGAACCAGATAGTATAATTTACACACTTGTTCCACATGTATTGCGTGCTGAATTTGCTTAGCTCGGAGGGCCCCCCAACGCAAGAGACAGGTAACGAAACAAGACTCATCAACCGATAGTTTACATTGTAGCGGAGCTCGGTTGCCCCCTGATCCACAGAACCTGAGCTCGCGCCTCGTAGCTTCAACCCGCTGCATTGGCGGGTGCCGCGATGGCAGATGTCGTCGACGTTCGCACGGACATTGGGTTTCAGCGACTCGACGGCACAGACGAACGATGGGGAGGCTAGTGTCTCAGGTTCGAGGCGTACACGGCTCTGTTTGGTTCCGAGGGCTCCATAATCGAAGCCTCCGAGAGCGGGAGTCCCATTCTGAGCGACCCCGTTCTGAGCGGGAACCTCTGAGCGGCCAAGCAATTGAGCGTTCGCCTCTGGCATCTACTGATCACGCGGCACGATGGAAAAACAATGGGCGTGATCAGGCTGGCTCGCAAGAGTGGCTTGGAGCCGTGGGAGCAGCTCAATATGGAACACGAGAGCAGGACGGGCAACAGGTTGACGGCAATGCTGCGCTTCATCGTGAGTTTTAGGACAAGAGGGCCAAGGACCGCGAAGTTCGACTTGATTTGTTCCAATCGCCCACGGCTTGGGAGGCAGTTTTGGCGGAGTACATCGACCAGAGTGGAGAGGTGGTCTCGCATAGTGTCAAAGACATATCGCGAGATGTGCTGCAGACCCAGAGGAGGTCAAGTTTTCGTTCACAGGTGCTCGCGGCCACCAGCCAGGGCCACGCCTTCAACGCCGTCGACGTCGGCGCGGGCGTTGTACCGATGCAGATCGTCGGTGTGACCAACGGCGGTCGCGGCAGCAAGGCTGGCGACAAACGCAGGAAGAAAGGTGGCGTGCTTACCAAGGACAAGCGGGAAGGACGCCAAGACCAACAAACAAGAAAATGAAGGACGGAGACGAGGCAGGAGATGGCCGCGGCGGCTAGGCGAGCAGCCAAGGACTTGGCATTTCGCATCTCGCCGGCTCACGCGGATGTCGCGGGAAGTGGGGCCACGAGCGGGCGGCCTGAAGGAAGAGGGCCCACGGCGAGAAGACTGCCTCGCAGCAGAGTGGAAGCGCAAAGGCCGTCTCGGACACCACTGGCGCCGCGGACAGGAACCGCCGCAGCGACCGCGGGATACCATGACGAGACCGAGGTTGCAGGTGAGCCCTAGGTCTTCGTGGTCACTGCCGACGACGAGGGCACAGTGGCCAAGGTTTGCGTAGTGGCGTGTGTCGACCAAGTCGGCGACGAGCACCTGTGAAGGCCGAAGTTTGTCCCCGAAGCTCCTGTCGCGAACGCCCCGCAGGCCCCGAAGCTTCGCGACGCGCAGAACAAGCCGGTGCCCGCGAACGGGCTCTGTTCAGTTGAGATCATCATGCAGGAGGGAGCCCAGACGACGGCGGACTTTTGGTGGCCCGTGCAAACGACGATCTTCAGGGCGTCGGGAACCTGCTGAGGCAGCGCTTCCGCTTCGACCTGGGCATGGGGAAGGGGCGCTTCATGTCGAATGGCCATCAGAGCGCGCAGCTCGAGCTCGAGGGGAACAGCCGCCCGGCCACCTTGGCCGAGCCAGCGAAGGGGCGCTACACAGCGATGACTAGCGCAACGGCAGAGCACCCAGCGACGGCGTCCGTTCTCTCGGCAAAGAGATCGGCAGGGGCCCTCGGGATGCGTCTCCGCGCCTCCGCGAGCTGTTCCAACCGATCTACGGCTCGGAGGTCGACGCGGGAGAGGCCCATCGTCGCTGCGGCTGCGCACCGACGGAGGCCGAGAAGGAGCGCCGGGCGGCGAGGCGCGAGGAATTCAATATCCAGACCGATCCCGTCGAATCGCGGGAGCTGGCCGTTCTTGAGGCGGGATGAGGGCGGGGCGTGACTTCTGTTTGCGCAATATGCGACCACTACAATGCACTCGCCCAATTCCGATGTGTCGGGCGCTTAATCCAAATATCTTTGCAGTCCACTGCTGCGTTCCAACCCGTAGTGCTAACCCCATGATCGCAGCTCATATTTTGAAGCCCGCACCACAGCCTCACACTACCCCCCGTCTCTTGCAGCCGCCGCAACAACGTTCAACGCGGTGCCGCTCGCTGTGCCCACAGCGTCGCCATAGTAGAGATTTAGCGCCCACTACAAACCCTACTGCAGCCCAGGTGCAGTCCTTGCTGCATGTCTTGTGACATCGCTTGCGACAGAGCCGACCCGACCCCCCCCCGCCGCAGCCGCCCCTACTGGCCGAGACACACCCCTTGCTGAAGCCAAGACTAAGGGTGCGCCGCAGTCCCTGCGAATGCCCTCCTCACGGCAGCCCGCGCCGTAGTTTTGACACCACGTCCGACCTCAGCGCCATGCGACATCGCAAATTACAAGACCACGACAGATCCTTTTTCAAAAACAACTACAATTCTTGGAACAGCGCCGGCCACAACCCGCCCCATTCGCAACCCTCACGACGTACCACAGCGCGCATTGCAATCCGCATTGCAGCCCATATCTCACCCAGCACTACGGGGCATACGTCTGTGGAGAAGGGGGTTGGACTTCTGGGGCCGCGGACGGTAAAAACCAGAGCGGGGGATGTCATCGAAAGGGTCCCTGGCCCAAGGTGTCCCCAGGATTCCCGAAGAGGCCCAGATGGCCTCCGGAACGCCTACATCTACAGACAAGGCCCGCGCCCTCTAAGAAGCAGGGGTGCTACGAAGAAACGTTCCCCCCTCCCCCTACCTTGTCTGCGCGTGGCCGACAGTTCCCACCCCCCTTTGCGCAACGCCGCGAAAGGAAAGAGAGTGCGGATGCGGCGCGCCCGCGGGCACCCGGGGCCCTGGCGTCGAGGCCCTGTCGCCTCGAGGGATGGCAGGCTCGGAGAGGTACAAGCCCTCGGACGTCGCCGGCTGCTTCAAACCCTAAGAATGTGAGCGCCCCAAATGGGGACAGAAAATGTGGGTACGATGCCCAACAAGATATGTTGCCCCAGACCGACAGCGCCCGCTGCTGGGCAGGAGGCCTCCAGTCTCAAATGGACAACATCTGCAGGGACACCGACAGCGAGTCTGGTTCAAAATGAGCAGGAAATATTGTCGGTCATTGTTCCTACGAGTTCCGTCTCCATTTCGATCGCCCCGAGAGGAGGAGTCCTGGCCCAACGGTGTGCCCCCAGCTTTTTGCTGCACTTCGGAGCCACAGGAACCTTCTGGGCTGCGTCTGGCGCCTCTGGAGAGGTAGCTTCCTCCTTCGACGCCTCCCCCCCTCCCCCTTAAGTTTGCCCCTTTGGGTGCGCCGCCAGAAATGTGCACCTCTTGTGCCTGCAGGGAGCGCTCAAGGAGGAGGAGGAGGAGGAGGAGGAGGAGGAGAAGGAGGAGGAGAAGGAGGAGAAAAAGGAGGAGGAGAAGGAGGAGGAGGAGGAGGAGAAGGAGGAGCAGGAGGAGGAGGAGGAGGAGGCCCCAGGGGCCGAGAGCGGGCACCCAGGGTGCTCCCGACCACGGATCGCCCACCCAGAAGCCACGCCCAGCCCATCTCCTCCTCCTCCTCCTCCTCCTCCTCCTCATTCGTCGGCCTCCTCCTCCTCGGCCTCCTCCTCCTCCTCCTCCTCCTCCTCCCTCCTCCTCCTCCTCCTCCTCCTCTCCTCCTCCTCCCCCCCCCTCCTCCTCCTCCTCCTCCTCCTCCTCCTCCTCCTCCTCCTCCTCCTCCTCCATCTGCATCCTTTCATCTTGGCATCGCTCGGACGTGTGCATTTTTCCTTCGGCGAGGACCGTCGAGGAGCATCCTTGCTCATCTGGCGAAAAAAAAAAAAAAAAAAAAAAAAAAAAAAAAAAAAAAAAAAAAAAAAAAAAAAAACACGCACGAAACCGAAAAAAACACAGGGGATGGACGTCCGAGCGATGCCCAGTTATGGCCTGCCTGAAGGGCCCCCGGGGGACCAGAAGGGGCGCGAAAGGGTCACGTCTCCCCCCGCCCGAGCCATCCGCATCCTTTTGCGCCCTGCAGGGGGCCCCTGGGGCCCAGAAGGGACGCGAAAGGTGCATGCCCTCCCCCGCACACACGCACGCACGCACGCACGCACGCACGAAAAAACACACACACACACATTCAACCACACACACACACACGCACACACACACACACACACACACACACACACACACACACACACACACGCACGCGCAAGCACACGCACACGCACACGCACGCACACGCGCACGCGCACGCGCACGCGCACGCGCGCACACACACACACATTCTCCCACGCACACACACACACACACACACACACACACACACACGCATTTGTTCTATCGCCTCCCTTCTGCCTTCTGCGACGCCCCACTCACCTGCATCCTCACGCGCCCTGCAGGGCCAAGAATAGGGCACGAGTGGTGCACGCCCCCCCCCCCCTCCCGCGCATCGCCCCCCCCCCCCCCCCCATGAAGCATCGCCAAGGGAGTGCCGCATTCGCGTCTTCCCCCCCGCCCAGGTCGTCAGGGAGGCCTCCAGATCAGCGGGCTCGAGGCGCCGGCGCCGCCTTCTTCGGGGGCTGTGGTGGAGGGCTGTGCTCGCCCGGTGCGCCTCGTGCACGGCCGCTCGGGGCGGAGGGCGGGGCCCAGGGAAGGACCAGTGCAAGCCCAAAGCTCATCAGCGATGCTGGAATAAGCGTTCCCTCCAAGCTCTCAGTTCGTAGGCCCCATGCAAGAATTCAGTTCCACAGGAGAGCGCCCCGTTGGGAGAGAACCGTTGGAAGGTTTTGAAGCGTCCCAATGCACTTCTCGGGACTCCAACAGCACGAATCGATTTGACTGTTGCGTCTTGACGTGCCTGAATCGCGCTAGATCACCATTCTTTCTTTTCAGCACTGCCAATCAACGGAACTGTTGCTTATTGGGAATCCTGACTCGTTCCAAAATACCGCTTCTGATACGCCAAACATAGGAATTTGCGAAGTGTTTGCAAATATTTAGGTTTTTTTTTAATGTGCGCGGCGCTAAAGCAGCATTTTGAACAACTGGACCGCCCTCCATCCTTGACATGGCGAACATGTCATAAGACGAATTCGCGCGTAGTTAGGACGAGAGCCACATGTTTGAAACGACCCGCCCTCAACCCATGACAGCCTTACAATGTTTCCTTACAATGTTTGAAGGCGATTACGCGCGGCGCTCAGGCGAGAGCCGCATTTAGGAAGCGGTCTGCCCTCCATCCGTGGTATCAGTGCCGATACCTAGGCTTCAGGATCAGAAATAGTACGGAAGTCCCAGGCGGAACGCCCAGCCCGCCCTTCGAACTGGCCTCGGGGTGCGACAGGGAGGAGTTAGGTATAAGGACAAGAGTGGAGCAGGAGGAGGAGAAGGAGGAGAACGAGGAAGAGGAGGAGCTTCTGTGGGCTCCTCGAGGCCAGAGGCTATGTGGTGCCATGCCCGAGGCTATGTGGTGCCATGGAGGAGGAGGAGGAGGAGGAGGAGGAGGAGGAGGAGGAAGAGGAGGGGGAGGAGGAGGAGGAGCTTATTTGAGCTCCTCGAGGCTATGTGGTGCCATTTTTGGCAGTCTCAGGGCTGTCAGGCCCTTGGGGGATCTCATGGCCTGGCGAGCAATGTGGGGAGACTCTTTGCATGACGGGGCCTTGATGAGCTCGGGGGGGCCCTAAACACTGCCCCCTTCAAACTCTAGGCCTTGCAGATGGGGTCAGAGTACAGGGGTCGGACGATCGCGCCAAATCGCCGATTCATTGCCGATACGGGTCGATGCGGAGCCAGATTTTCTCCACGCCGACGTCGCCGATGCACCGCCAACCTCGCCGACGCATCACCGATGCATCCGCGATGCGGCGCGAACCTCCGATCCCATGTACTCGGACCTCATGTGGCGGCCTCTACAGACAGGATTGTGGACGTCGGGGAGGAGGGGCGAGACGGGGGAGGGGGACAGCCAATCCTTCCGTGCAAATTGAGTGTTTGGATCTCACTGCTGGAGCCACCCAGCGCAAGGCAGGGAGGCGGGCTGAGACCCAGCGTACGTCGAGTTGGAGAACGACGGCAAATCGATGGTTCGTCGAATCTGCCCAGAATGCGTAGAATGCTCCGTAGATCTACGGAACACTCTACGCAGGTCAGTGTGGATTCGACGAAAAAGCAATCTCGGGGTAAACCAATTCTGTAGTCGATCTCCTATTTGAGAGCTGTACTGATCAACCTGGTCAGCCGGGGGCCAGTGGGGCCCAGTCGGAGTGGGGGCCATCGCACACGCCGCACACGCCGCACACGCCGCACACGCCGCACACGCCGCACACGCCGCAAACGCCGCACACGCCGCACACGCCGCACACGCCGCACACGCCGCACACGCCGCACACGCCGCACACGCCGCACACGCCGCACACGCCGCACACGCCGCACACGCCGCACACGCCGCACACGCCGCCCACGCGCGCGCACGCGCGCGCACGCGCACACGCGCACACGCGCACACGCGCACACGCGCACACGCGCACACGCGCACACGCGCACACGCGCACACGCGCACACGCGCACACGCGCACACACGCGCACACACGCGCACACACGCGCACACACGCACACACACACACACACACACACACACACACACACACACGCCCATGGGGAGGGCGGCGGAGGGCGGTATGAGTGCGTGCTGCCAGATGGAGGTCCGCACTCGAGAGGGAGCCTCTGCCTGGAGTCCGGCAGCCCGCACCCGCACCCACAGCCAGTCCTCTTCAGACCCCCCCATGGATGTGTGTCTGTGTTGTTCGTTGGTCACTCCCTCCCCCGCCACGGTTCCTCGGTTCCGCTTCTCCTCAAGCTCCCTCGAGCTCCCTCAAGTATCGCAGCACGGACGGACGGCGAGGACGCCGTGGGCCGTGCGGCCTCCCATCTGTGAGCATCGCTCACGGTTGCGCTGAATAATTGTGTATTCTTGCCTCGCCGTCAGGGGGTATGCATTGTTGGTGCAAGATGAATGTTGTTTCTGCTAAGCCAGGGACATCAGGTGCAATGTGGAAGGTGGATGTGTCTCTTTGTGTGCAAGGTGGAGCTTCTTGAAGAGAGGTCCCTTTTTGGACACTCAGGCGCAACAGCTCTGAGCACCCCGTTGGACACTCAGGCGCAACAGCTCTGAGCACCCCGAATTCTCAATTTTCAGAACTATGTTTCTTTGCAAGGTTCCTCCCCGCGCACGGTTCCTCGTCGCCAGGGTGGTATGCAGCTGTAGTGCAAGACAACGTGCAGCCACTTGAGGCGCATATGTTCAGTTTTCAACTTGAGGCATAGCGTGCGTTCGTGGTGTTGCTCTGCTTCTTTCCGCCACGCTGCACCACCGCTGGGTCGTGTGAGGCATGGGCGGAGCCCCGCCGCCATCGCCCGGAAAGAGCAAAACAATGACGCCAACACGGTTTCAGAGAGCCCCGACAGAAAGCCAAGACACGCCGATGGAGACCCAGAAGGCCCCCCTTACGGGGCCCTCAGACGGCCCAGAGGAAACCCCAGCCCAAGATGGCGCCAAGACGGCTTCAGAGAGCCCTGAACAACGACCCAAGACGCGCCCATGGAGAGCAAAGGGCGCCCCACGAGGCCCCCACGGCCCAAGAGAGCCCTGGGACGACCCTCGATGGCGCCAAGATTGCTTCAGAGAGGCATAGAATTGTCCCCAAGTAGCGATTCATGGGAGCCTCGTATGTCCTCGGAGTGCCGCGTTGGGAGCGCACTCGAGTGCGCCAGCGTCGGATGATCGCCGAGGCAGCGCCGACTCGGCGCCGACCTGACGTCGATCCAGAGCCGATGGGAGCGTCGGTTCGCAGGCAGATGCTCGCATCGCAAGAGCCAGCAAGCTGGTGTGGGAGGCCCCCCTTACGATTAAGTCGGGCCTGTCCCTCTACAGGAGGAATATTCAAACATATGCAAAGTAGTCTGGGGACGATTGTTTGTCCATTTGAGAGTTTTTTTTTTGTGACAAAATCGTTTCCTACTTTTCGTCTAAAGTCCGCCTGCAGGGGGACATGCCCGACCTAGCCTTACGAGCTGCCGCAGGGCGCGCGCTGCCAGAGCTCGGCCCGCCGCCGTGCCCCGTACCCGCCCCGTCCGCCCGCCCCGGGGTCCGGCGGCTCCCTACGGTCACGCGCCGTGCGGCGAGGGGGGGCATCTGGCGAGGCGGCTCCGTCCTGGCCGCGCGCGTGGAGGGGAGGAGGAGGAGGAGGAGGAGGAGGAGGAGGAGGAGGAGGAGTATGAGGAGGAGGCGGGAGGAGGAGGAGGAGAAGAGAGGGAAGGAAGAGGAGGAGGGAGGGAGAGAGGGAGGGAAGGGAGGGAGGGAGGAGGGAGAGAGGGAGGGAAGGAGGAGGGGAGGAGGAGGAGGGAGGACGAGGAGGGCGGAGGAGGAAAAGGAGGGAGAAGGAGGGAGGAGGAGGAGGAGGAGGAGGAGGAGGAGGAGGAGGAGGAGGGGGAGGAGGACGCGCTCCCTGACGTTGCCGCCCTCGGTGGGAGCCTCCTCGAGCGTACTGCGGACGCTGAGGATTTCGAGCAGGCTTCTTGCTTTGAAGCCTCCGATCCCCCGAACTTGCTGCAGGTGGCTGCCTCATATCATATCATCACAGTTGTTACCATGGACAATCTGGCGAATTTTGGCATTGCAGTGTTTACAAGCTCTCACTTGTTACGCTCACCACCGCCGCTACTACATACATTACGCCGAGGTTGCACATTGAGAGCGCACCAGCAGTGTTTGGTGTCCACCCCCGCCAACACCAATGTGTTGTGTGCTGTGTGTGGCGTGCGTTTGCGTTTGTTCGTGCATGAGGGATGGCATGCTGGTGTGCGTGCGTGAGTCTCGTGTGCACGCGCGCGCGTAAGCGGGTGTGCGGGTCTGTTTCCAGCGGCAGATCCCGACGTTGTGTCGGCACCGATCTTTCTGACGTGGGTTGCGGATAGCTCGTGTCGCGCCCGCAGCCCCAGGCAAAAAGTGGATTGGATGTTCCAATACATGGACGCGCGTAGGCAAGCGTGGACCGCATTTGCAGGATTCAGCGGCTAATGTTGGCGAGCGGCGCTCTGTCTAGTAGGCAGTTTTCCGCCAGGAACGCGCCGCGGAGAAAAGAAGGGCCACAGTGCAGTCGAATCGTGCGAGCCATTTTTTAGATGCTTCTTCGTTTCGGTTTCGCTGCCGATTCAGGTGCCCCCTCAAACTGTCCGATTCTCACCTCTTGCGTCTGTTGATCGAACACTCTGATTGCGCAGAAGCGCATGCTCTGCTCCTCCCTCTTCTGCCTCCTTGAGGTACGGCGCTACTTCTAGCGCCAGCATCTCAGTGAATGGTGCGAGCTCTTTGCGAACCGTCGCAGGCAATCGGGCACGATACCGACAATGGTGCCGTCCATCATCGCGATTGATGCAGGCATGGCTTCCTTCATCACCACACTTCCAAAGGCAACGTTCGGAGGCGGGGGGGGGGGATACGGGGTCAGGGGGCGACGCATCGACCCCCAATTGCCCATTCATCGCCGACAAGGGGCCCGACAGCCCACCCCGTCCAGGAACGCTCGGACTCGCCATCGGGGGACCACAGTCGGTCTATCGGCGGTGTACCACCGACTCCAGCTCGACGTGTCCTCCCCTGATGAGCCGGTCCCCCCCCGAACGCTCCTTTCCGGAAGCAGACGTGGTGTCCTGCACCCTCGTCCTCCCCGTCTCTCAACTCAGGGGCGCCGGGAGAATCGCGCATCGCGATTCTGGACGCCCCGAGCGCGGCGAGCCAGGCGAGCCCCTGCGGCCGGTGGCGAGCAGCGGCGAAGGGCGGGCAGAGGCGTCCAGCACCCCGCGGGTGTGCCCTCGCCCAGGGCTGCACGGGGCTCGCTGGCAGCTCCGGCCCGCCCAGGCGGGCCGGGCCCCAGCCCCGCTCCTGGCAGTGGCGTCCAGACCCGCCGGGCTCCTGCCCGCGCCGTCCGCCTCTGGAGGAGGAGGAGGAGGAGGAGGAGGAAGAAAAGGAGGAGGAGGAGGAGGAGGAGGAGGAAAAGGAGGAAGAAAAGGAGGAAATGGAGGAGGAAAAGGAGGAGGAGGAGGAGGAGGAGGAGGAGGAGGAGTGCGAGTTGAGACAACCGTGGTTGGTTTTCAGAGGGGAGGGGCTCGTCGCCGCGGCTGGTCGCGGCTCGGAAAGCTGATGCGTGTGGGCCCTGTGGGGGGTCCGCGGGCCGATCTCGAGCTGTTGTTGTCCGAACTCGCCCCTCTCTCCGATGTCGGTGCGCAGGTACAGTCAAAAACCCTAATAAGGACGCGCGTCCTTGCTCTTCCTTGCTCTTGCGTCCTTGAGGTTTTCGTCGTCCGCCGCCCCAAAGATCCCAACTTCGGCTTCCAAGGGTCTTGCGTCCTTACCGCGCGTCCTTATCAGGGTTTTTGACTGAAGCAGGGGCCAGCCCTGACGGTGGTTCGGTGTCGGCGACTTGGATCCGTCACGTGATGCGAGTCGGAGGAGGAATAGGAGGAGGAGGATAGAAAGAGAAGGAGGAGGAGGAGGAGGAGGAGGAGGAGGGGCATTCGGTGGGGAGGGGAGCACTGCGCAGCACGTGACGAGATTCCTCTGCCTGAGGTGGTCCCCTATGGCTGGCCCGTGCTTCGGAGCCACTTGGAGCCGCTCTCCGCCCTCGTCTCCCTCGGCTTAAGCCCGTGTCCGGGAGCGTTTTTGTTGGGAGTTACAGTCAAACACCCTAATAAGGACGCGCGACTTTGCTCAGGGTACCCTTGCGTCCTTGCTCTTCCTTGATCTTGCGTCCTTGAGGTTTTCGTCGTCCGCCGCCCCAAAGATCCCAACTTCGGCTTCCGAGGGTCTTGCGTCCTTACCGCGCGTCCTTATTAGGGTTTTTGACTGTACCTTGTATTTTGCGTGGGATTCCCGACGATGCCTTGGCTGACCCAGGTCAGCGCTGACCCGGGTCGGCCCGCCCCCGAGGATGCGCCGGGGGCGGAAAAGAGGGGGGTGATGATTAGGGGGGGGGTGGATATCATGGCGGAGGGCTGATATTTCCCCAGATTTCATGGCGCCTCTTCTTATTTCATCACGGCCCTGGCCCCCCCGCTGGGCCGCGCACATGCCGCCGGCCATGATTTGCACCCCCCCTCTTGGACACCCCCCACTTGGCCGCTCCCGATGGCCCAGGTCAGCGTTGACCTGGGTCGGCCCGCCCCCGAGGATGCGCCGCATCGCTGGTTTGTCGGCGTCGCGGCGCGATCTGGAGCATGAGGATTCCCGCCCCGACGTTGCCGATGATGCATCGCTGACGTGTCGGCGATGCCGCGCCATCCTCCAACCCCATCTACTCGGGCTCCCCATGTGCGGCATTCAGCAGCGGACGACCCTGTGGTCGCCACTCTCGCCCATCTGAGCGGATCTGATCTTGCCAGAAGATCATCATTCTGAACAGCTGGCAGATCCACACAGGATCTGGACAGGCCTACTGAGGAGCCGAGCGAACCCGATTGAGTTTTGAACAGGATCGCTCAAATTGTTTGCGAACTCACGGCGCATGATGATGGTCATGGTGGTGATGATGATCATGGTATTGGTGATGGTGGTCGTTGCGATGGTGTTGGCAATGGTGATGGTGGTGGTGATGGTGATGGTGGTGGTGGTGGTGATGGTGATGGTGTTGGTGATGGTGATGCTGCTGCTGCTGATCATGATGCTGCTGCTGCTGATGATGATGATGCTGATGATGATGATGATGTTGATGATGATGATGATGATGATGATGATGATGATGATGATGATGATTGTCATGTTGATGATGGTGGTGATGACGGTGATGATGAGGAGGATGATCATGGTGGCGGCAAGCTCGAGGTATTTGGGAGCTGTGGCCAAACTTGGAGAAGGTCCGACCGAGTGTTGCCTCCAACGGCTCTGGCGGCCCTCCGGCCGTGCCTTAACAGTTGCCGCATAGCGCATCGTTTGCTTGCGACCTCTGGGATCCATGCTCAGGAGGGAGGAAGGGGGTAAGGGGGGAAGCAGGAGGGGAGGAGGAGGATGAGGGATCCATGCCAGCGAGGAGGAGCTGGAGGGACCCATGCCGGGAAGGGAGGAAGAGGAGGAGAGGAGGAGGAGGAGGAGGAGGAGGAGGAGGAGATCTTTGCCAAGCAGGAGGAGGAGGAGGAGGAGGAGAAGGAGAAGGAGGAGGAGGAGGTGGAGGGAGGAGGAGGAGGGAGGTTTGACAGCAGCTGGAGCGGTGCCACCGCGACCTGGTAAAGAGTGGAGTTACCGTCACTCTGGTGCGAATGGCAGCGGCTGCAGATTCCCTGCGTTCCACAGCACGCGCAGCTGGCTGATGTCGCAGCGGAGAAGAATGCAGGAGGTCGGGGGAGGAAAGGTACCTACCGATACCGCTACGCTTCCCTCGTCGCCACAGTTGGAGTCGCCGCGAAATCTTGGTCATTACGCACCCCAGGAGAGGTCTGGGGAGTAGTAGGGGTCCGGGGAGTAGTAGTGGTGTCGGTGTTTTGTCTTTCCCCGACAGGAATTGGAGCACAGACGAATCGCGTGAAGAACATCCTGTCTTGCTCCGTCAGGAAGTCGATATGAAATGGTGACGGTTGGTCATGCTCCACGTGGAGGAGAGACGAGTGAGCATGTGGGAAGGGGGAGTGGGGCGAAGCAAGGGGAGGGAGCGGGGGGGGGAGGAAGGTGGAGGAAGAGGAAAGGGAGGAGGAGAAGGAGGGAAGGGAGGAGAAGGAGAGAGAGTATGAGGAATAATAACAGCAAACGCAGGATGCATCAACTATGCGTAGTACACTCTCGCGGCCCAAGTCCCCTCCTTATCAAATCCTACAAGCCTCCATGTTCCTGAGTGGAAGCGCTCCCTTGACAGAGGAGCTCTCGATGGTTCTGCCATTCAGGCGAGAGCCCCTTTTTGGAAAGGAACGGGCTTGCAGACTTCTAGCGCATGACAGGGGCTGCGAGAGCTCCGTTTTGAAAGGAACCCCCTTCCGTCCTTATATCAATCCTTGCAGTTGCTGTAAGCTTTTAAGACGAACGTGCGTGGCGCGGAGGGGAGAGTCGCATTGTGAAAACGAACGGGGCTCCAGCTTTTGGGCCGCTGCCCACTCTTCTGACAAATGCGCGCGGCGTCAAGGCCAGAGCCGCAGTTTGAAGACCACCCGCCCACAACTCTTACTGCTGCTGCGAAATCTATGAGTGCGGGGCGCTGGGGCGAGAGCCGCATTGCGAGAACGCACCAGCATCTGCCTCCACAGCTGCTGCAGGCTGGTATGTGACGGGTGCGCGCGGCGCAAAGGAAAGAGCCACATTTTGAAAACCACCCGGCCCGTCCCCTCATCCTTGAAGTTGCTGCAAACGCGTACGGCGAGCGACGGTGCCTGCCTCCACCCTACCGACCCGCTGCTGGCGCGCGCGGCATGGGGCTTGCGGTGCGAGGGCCTCGAGGATCCCGACAACGTGGGACCGGCCGACCAGTTTGCAGACCGCTCAGTGGGCCGAGGTGACAGCCGCCGTGGCGGCGGCACGACTCGCCGGGGGCCCCGCCCCAAACAGTCGGTGCGTCGTGTGGTGTTGCGCCCAAATCGTAGCGGGCTCCGACGTGCGTGACTGGGAGCATGCCGACTTGTGGCTGCAGTTGGCGGACGCCGTGCGCGCTGGGCGATTGCGGGCCCGCTGAGCACCGGCGCACAAGACGCCGGTTGAGGCGCGAGGCGCGGCGCCCGGGCCTGAGCGAGCGCGACCGCCTCGGCAACGCCGCGGCTGACAGCAATGCCGGCGCCGCTGCGCAGCGGGCCGTGCCGGGCGAGCTGGTGCGTGCAAGCCTCGGGGAGTTGGAACTTTTGGAGGCGGCGCAGCGGGTGCAAGCGGCTGCCCAGCAAGCGGCCTTGGCCGCCGTGCCAGCGCGCCAGCGCGCCAGCGCCGCGGCTGGCGCATCTGGCGGGCGGTGCGCAGCGGGGTTCGCGCTCGTGTAGCGTCCGCCCCGGCGGGCCCCGCCCTGACTGGCCGCGCCCGCGCGGCTCCGCTGGCAGCCCGGCCGCGCCAGAGTGGCTGCGCCAAGCCCGTCAGCGCTGGCGCCATGTTGGCGGCCTTTTTCGCGGGTCGGTCGGCGGTGGCCGCACTCCCTCGCACGAGGGCCCGGCTCCGTTAGTTGCCCTCGCTGCGGTGGCAGCGCCGGACCGCGGCGGCCATGCTGGGATGCGCATGTCCAGGGTGGTAGGGCTGGCTGCCCGCGAGAGGGCAGGCGCTGCTGCTATACTCGGCGACCTGCGCTGCGCTGGGGGCGACGCCGCAGAATTCGCTGCCTGAGCTGCGCGCCGCATCGCGCAGCTGCCAAAGATGCCCGACTACTTCGGACGCCCCCCCGGACGCCTGCGGTCGCGCATGTCGTTCGAACGCGTCGGCCCAACAAAAGCGCAAGACGATTGTGTGCGGCGCCAGGTTTGGGCCGCATTCAGAAAACCACCCGCCATCCATCCTTGAAGCTGTCAGCGGCTTGAGGGTAGTAAGTTGCCCGTCTCAAGCGAAACGTCCCGCCTGGTCTGGCAAGGGGGAGACAGGACGGGGGAGGAAAAGGGGGAATGGAGGAGGGGACTGAGGAGGGGATGAGGAGGAGCAGGAAGGAAAGGAAGAGGGGTGGGTGATGGGGGAGGCTGTGGGAAAGCGGAAGAGGAGGGGAGAGGCTTTGGGGAGGGGGGCCAAGGAGGGGAGCAGAAGGAGGTGCTGAGGAGGATCGGGGAAGTGGGGAAATGAGCGAAGGAGGGGGGGGGAGCAACTGCACCCCGCCCAGCTCGAGCTGTAGATCCTTCCCTGGGGCGCCCGCTTTTTCCCCCCTTCGTTTCGCCGGCCGCCGGCCGCCCGCACATTTCCGCCATGGGCCGCAGCGACAGCAGGGGCAGGAGCCCGAGCCGCAAGAAGGACCAGGGGGGGCTGGAACGGTGCGCCCCTCGTTAACCGTCGCCCCCACCTCTGCCCCTCCTGTGCCTCCTCCTAGACCTCCTCCTCCTCCTCCTCCTCCTCGTCCTCCTCCTCCTCCTCCTCCTCCTCCTCCTCCTTCTCTTTCCCCTCCTTGTCTCCTGGCGCTGCTGACGGTGCCTCGCCACGTGCCTTCGGCGGCGCTGGACGTGCAGTCGCACCTCCTGGCGGCCCTCGCGGTGCTCGAGGCGGCGGAGGAGGTGGTGCTGATCATGGTCCTCGCGAGAAACCTGGTTGCTAGTGCTGCTGTTGACGCTGCGCCTCTCGACAGCGGAGGCGGTGAAGCACCTGGATGAGATGCTGGTGGCGCGCCGCTCGGCCACTTTTTGCGCCGCGCGCCACGACGAGCCGCGCTCTGGGCCCGGCGCGCCGGAGGCGCCCTCCTCGGCCGCCACCGGTCCTGCAGCCTCGCCGCCGCGGACGGCGCGGCCCATCCGAGCCGCTCCGATTGCGTTTGCCCAGCGTCGACTGGTGGCGGACCCAGCGGTGACGGCGGCGGCAGAGGCGTCGTGGCGGCTGAGGCGACAGTGGGCACGCTCCTTAGCGGAGCTCGCGGCGATCGAGGCCGCCATGGCCGCTGCAGGGACACCCGTTCACGGGCTGTGAAGTTATCTTCTTTCTGCGCTGGTTTGGGCCCTGAGGGAGGCACGGCGCCTGTATCCCATGGTGCCATTGTTGCCCTGAATTCGTTTTTCTCGTCACTTGCTGGAGTTGTTCGTCGTTCACGCGTGGTGTGTTGGGGGGCATTCATTGCGTGGGTTTGCTCTTCGGCTGGTGGCGCCTTTTTTATCACGAGCGCAGCGGGGGCACGCCTCGCCCGAGGTTCCGTGCCGCTGGCCGCTTCTTGGTCGCAGCTGAAGTGCCTGGTGCCAGGCAGGTCGGACTTCACTTGCATCGGATGCATCGGCTGCCACTCGTTCGACTTCGGGGGGCCGTGCACCGTCGTGGAGGTGCCGCTGCCTCTGGGTGAGTGCGCCTCCTCGGCGGGTCAGTACTCCACCGCCCCGGGGCCCATCGGGCGAGAGCTCCTAATGGGGTACAGGCCCGCCCCCTACTCCGTACGGGAGCCCTCGGGCGTACCTGGGGGAGGGGCTGCAGGGGCCGCGGTGCGTGCGCGAGGGGTGCAGCCTGCAATTTTCACGACCGTCGACGCGCTGGACGCGCTGGTCTTCGGCATCCTCGTCCCCTTCGGGAGCTCCCTCCCGTCTGGAGGCCTGCGGGTCGGCGGGAGCCTCTGCCACGGCCCCCTGTGGGCAGGCCCGCCTATTCGTACGACACGCCGCCGAGCGTGCCGCTCCGTCCCCGTGGACGGCTGAGGGGACAGGTCGCGGGCTCGCGGTCGCCGCGAGCTGACCCGCACCTTCTCGGGTTTGCGCAGCGCTCCTCATAGCCCCTCCCCCTCCTCGGCCTCCCACTTCTCCTCCTCCATCGCCCTCTCCCTATCAATAAGTTCTCCCTGTCGCACCCCGAGGCTGGTTTTCAGGGCGTGCCGGGCGTCTCGACTGAGATTTCCTTACGAATTGTGCCCATGAAGCTTCAACATTGGCAACGGTTTCACAGATGGAGGGCGGGTCGTTTCCAACATGTGGCTCTCGCCTCAGCGCTGCGCACATTCGCTTCAAAATGTTGAAACACTTTCACGGAGTGAGGGCGGGTGGTGTTCAAAATGTGATTCTCGCCTTAGCGCTGCGCGCATTCCTTTTAAATATATGCAAGAGTTTCGTGGATTGAGGGGAACCCGTTTTCAGAATGTAGTTGTCGCCTTAGTGCCGCTCACATTCATTTGGACAGTTTGCAAAAACTTAGCGGATTGAAGGTGATTCCTTTTCAACATGTGGTTCCCGCTTCAGCGCCGCTCACCCTTTACAATTTGCAGGAGGGTCATGGATTTCCCATTAACAAAGTACGAGCAATGGTGTTGTGGAAGGATTCAGGATTATGAGGGTGCAACGTGTTGAAGTCCCAAGAATGGCGTTCTGGCGCGATTCGGCATCGTCAAAACGCAACAGTCAGGCTGATCCGTGTCGTTGGAATCCCGAGAACAATGGTTTGGCATGCGTGAGGGTCTTCATACGGTTGTCTTCCAACGAGGCAGTTCCCTCAATGGAAATGAACCGTTCTAGGGGCCTATGGAGAGGGTGTGCTTGGGGGGATGGATTATTCCAACATCGTTGATGACTCTTGGGTTTACACTGGTCATCCTCCCCATCCTCCTCCTTCTCCTCCCCCTTCCCTTCCTCCTGCTCTTCCTCCTCCTCCTCCTCCTTTTCCTCCTCCACCTCCCCCTGGTCCTCCTCCTCCTGCTCCTTCTCCTCCTCCTCCTCCTCCTGCTCCTCCTCCTCCTCTCCCTCTTCCAGTTCCTCTTCCTCCTCCTTCTCATCATCATCATGGTCATCAGCATCAGCCGACAACTTTTGGCTGTTTGCGGACACGGCCGAGTCGCTGCGCCAGATGACGATGGCCTGGCGGCGCATCCTGCGAGTTCGCGGCTGGTACGTACCCCCCTCGGGTTTGACCCGGGGCACGACGGCGCTGGA